TTTACTTTTACTTATATATATATATATATATATATATATATATATATATATATACACACATACACACTCTGAATTATGCAGTCCCGTTCAAGCTAGGTGCAACATTGTAATTCAGTCTTAACACTATCAGGTATACTGGAATCCAATCCTGCAAGGTGCTGCATGCTTTCCAGTGGGAATTACGGGTGCTCAAGTAGCAACGGCTTGATTTTACCAGGTGCAGGTGCTCAGCACTTTGTGAGAGGTACTTTGAGATGCACCGTTAGGAAAAGGACATGAACAGGAAGTTCACGAGAGTTTGGGTATCAAGCACACTACACAGTGGTGTGTCTACACTGGGGATTTGCTCCAATTAAAGCTACCAGTATAGCTGCCCTGGAGCTGTGGTCCCTTTACATACATAGTGCAAAGCAGCTATTTCAACCAGTAAAACTCCCCTTGTGAAGCAGGTAGAACACTTTCCCTCAAAACGTCGTCATCTTGTTGGAAAATGGCTTAACAACTTTTTCCAATTATTTATATAAACATTGCTTAGGTTTTCATGTTTTTTTCCCTAAGGCTATTTAAATACCCAACATTTTGAATATTAAGTAGAAACTCTTTTTGGCTGTCAAAAAAAATGTGGTTTTTCAATCAGATCCCCCAAAGTATAAAACATTTCCAATCAATTTTTATCAGTTTTTTCACCTGGGGAGGACGTGGGGCAGGGGGGTGTCCTTTCCTAAGCAACCCTATTACTGTGGTTTCAAGCAGGGATAAATCTCATCTAGTGGCTTTACCTATCTACACTGATAGCTAACCTCCTCCCCCCACACAACTACTCAGTGTAGAGAGAACCTATTTCACAAAAATATTTGAGCTGATTAGTTTATGCCTAATGTCTCACTTTTCCCCCCCTTGGCCTATAGTAATACTAGCACTGCAATACAGTCACACAATTTTTATAGGGAAAAATGATTCTCAGTGTAGAGTCTGACTGTTTCACACATTTAATCTCTAATGCTTTTTTTTGTCTTGTGCTCACTGCGAAGTGATTTTCTTGGGGGTCGAGGGGCTTATCTAGAAGCGTTTGCATGATTCTCATTGTGATTTGTTTGCACTTTAGACATGTTTGTGCCATTATAAATTTGCATTATGTATTTATAATTTAATGATACTTAGGGGGTTTTGGTTTGGTTTTTTTTTTTTGGCCGATTACTGGAATAAACAGTGAGCATATCTGGTATATGTCATTATTTATTGTTAAATTACATTTTTAAAGCTCCATGTGTTCATATAAAGGTTATTTGAAACATATCATGGTAATGAGAGATGCAAGTTATTTTCTTTGCTTATTTTTATAATTAAAGATGCATAACTTAATATGAGGCCTATGGTGGATTCCTTCTGAGACAAAATAAAGTGTTAAATTTAGTCTTTTTCTAGTGTCTGATTTTCACTGTACCTTCACTGTTCAGAAAGACAAAGCTTTCTAAGATACTGCTGACTTGCAAATGCTTTAACAATAAGTCAAAGTGGGGTGGTTTTAAAAAAAAGCCAACCAGGTTAACTTCTGATGCCCTTGCAAATAGGTTTGGCGCATTATAGGTACACAGGTTCCTGCCACTAAGGAGTTTACAGTCTGTCTGCTATCCCATGACTTCACACTAGTATTATTTAACTGAGGGGCTGGGCTAGCACTGGGTCTGTCTACGCTGCATCTGGAGATGGACTTTCCAGCTCATGTAGACTTACACACGAGCTCTGGTTAAGCTAGCTCACTAAAACTGTCAGTCTAGCAGTACAGACAAGCTGCCTGAATATAACTCCAGCTATGTCGTTGGGTGTCTAACCCACCACCACACTCACTCAAAGCTAGTGCACGTACTTATCCATGGGCTGGAAATCCCCCAGCTGCCGTGTGGATTTGACACCCAAGGTACCTTTCTCTAACAAACATGAGACCTATGAACAAAAGATATAGAGAACATACTGACCAATATTAAGGCCTATTTATTTTAATCTTTTCTTAGCACTGCAAGTGCTACAGCAGCACCATCATGCCCCTGTAGTACAGACATATACATACCACAGCAACAGAAGGGTTTTTTCCATCAGCATGGTAAATCCACCACTGCAAGAATTCCTCAGTCCATCAACCTAATGGTGGCTACAGTGGAGCTTAAATTGGCTTAACTACATCTCTCAGGAGTGATTTTTTTTTTTCACACCACTAGGTCCACCTAAATTTTAGGTGTATCCCAGGCTTTAATTCCTGCTAGTTACTTTCAGCCCAAGTTCTATCTCGGCCCTCATAGGATCCTCCGCACCCTAGTAGCTAGGCAACCTCAGTAACTAAATGGATTTTATCTTCACAACACCTCTGTGAGGTAGAGCATTGCTCTCAACCCCATTTTTACAGATCAGGAACTGAGGGCCCAGGTACAGGTGAGCTTGTATAGCCCCTGCTGCTGTGACTCCGCTGCCATTGGCATAGGAGCCAACCTAGAGTAAAGCTAGCTGTGGTATGGATACATGTGCTGCAACTACAGTGTAGACATACCTCTGGGCCTTGCCCAAGTCACTCTATGGATGAGCTAGAAATTTGACCCAGGTCTCCTGTGTTGCAGTCCAGTGCCATAGCCAAGGGATTCAATACATTTTAAAGGCGGAAGGATGGTCTAGTGGCCAAGTGTTTTATGTCACCTCTAGAGAGTAGTCCACAGAGAATAAGCACCTACTGTACTGCCCATTACAGTAACTCTTACCACATAAGGTAGAAGCCTGTGCGCTTGATGCTGAAAGTCACACGTTCAAATCCTGCTGTTCACAGGAGACTCTTGAAGCTTTAATAAAAAGAGTGTGACAGAGCAGAATCATTAGTAAAATGAAGGTAAAAGCACTTTTTAGAGACCATCTTTATAATAAATAGCTCTGCAGGGAGAAGAATCTCTTATTTTAATTTACAGGCTTCCTTCATCGCATGTGGCTCCAAACCCAGAACTCTTATCTACATATAGTCCAGGACCTCTCTCTAACTTTCCATGAAGAGCACAAAAATGAAGATCGTCTTTATTGAAAAAGGAGACTTTGTTCCCATTCACCATTACAAAAGATAGATTATTGGAAAGAGAGGTCAGTCACTTTTTTACTGCCCCCTAATATTAGAACAAGAGGTGACTCAATTGAAGAAGAAAATGTATTTGAGTTAAATGAGAAAGGGGGAAATGATTTCATGAGCAATTTTGAAGTTGTTTCCATTTTTCAGGGTTCAAAATAAACACATTTTCAATTTTTAACTGACCGAAAACCACGTTTTTAAATAAAAGCAGGC